AGGTCCGGTTTCACCAATGTTGTTTAACTTTAAGCCTAGCTTAATTCGTCCGTTGTCTCTTACCAATTGTTCCTTTAGAAGGAGACAAACGTGAATTAAGCTGAGATTAAGGTTGAGCGACGTTTGGTGAAACCGGGCCTTAGTTTCACAATGGGCGAGAGCACATGTCCCCCCTCCGTTCGCGCCGATTCAATTAAATCGCGGAAACCGGATCGAAAATCCGTGCTCGAGGGGCGCCCGCGCGTGCCACGGTGGTGCCGGTGACCAGCCGCGGGCGACGAACGCGCGCAGCTGTGGCGCACGAACGTGAGTCGCTGCTCGCTGCGCTCTGCAGCTGATGCGGCTCGCTGTGCCATCCGTCGCCGCCGCCGCAGCCGTCGTCCGCGTTGTTGTGTCCCGCCGAGGGAAAATGCGACGATTGCGACGCGCCGCGATCCGATTCCGACGTCGGCCCCGTTGATCGCGTGTGTCTCGTGTGTCTACGCGAACAAGAGACTTGGACCGCCGGGCGGCCTCCCGGAAGAGAAAATTCGCCAGGGAGCGTCCCCTCTGCCCCCTCGTCGCGAGGAAGATCCGCCGCCGAGAGAGTTTCCGTCGGTCCGATGCGGCGCGCGGAATTCGATGTAGCGCGCGCGAGTCCGCTCCCTCCGCTCGTGCGGACGACGGATCGCGTGGAGCGGAGGTAGACAAAGGGGCCGACGACGCGAGCGCGCGCGCGCGCGCCGAGCGTCCCGGCGCATTTATTTATATAAGCGTCCGCGAGACATGCGGCCGCTGCCACCGTAGGGAGACGCGGCGTCGCCTCGGCACGGACGATCCGCGTTCCCGTGGGTTACCCCGTTCCGCGAGGAACTCGGAATCGATCCGGCGCTTCGCGTCGCGTCGCGGCCCGGGGTTGCCCGTCGCAATTCCGCGACATGGTTGCGTTTGCCACCGCGAGTCGTCCGTCTCTCTCCCCCGTGTCCGGCGAGGGTGACGCGTTGACGCGACATGCGACGTGATCGTTGGGTCCCTCAGGATTTCCAAGGAGGCACGACGGGACGCGCTTCGGATAGAGCGGCGGCCGGAGCATAATAGCCATTATGGAGGCGTTGCGTTTGGCTATACAGTGAGTGCCTGTCCTTTTTTCGGCGAACGCACCCCGCGATAAATTGCTTTGCTCGCGCGGACGGACGCTCGGAGAAGCGATCTGTTCGAAGTGTCCCATCCTTCGTTCCAACTTATTCTCGGCGAAAGAAGTTTGGATAAGGGAATCTTTATGCGTGTCTGTTTTATTTATCTTGATGATTAATTGCGCGAGTCGCTGTGCAAGACTCCGCTTTACAGGAACTTTTATCCTGGCGCAGAAGTATTGTCAAATCTTGAACAAGCAGCCGAACGAATTGTTCTTTTATTTGAATCGCGTATCTGCATTTTTATTTTTCTGTTTACCTTCACTAGTTCTTTTGTATTTTCAAATATACGTTCCGGCGCACTCGCACGTTAATTGGCAATTTTTCTCTTTCAGGACGCGGCTTGGGGAGAGGATGGTCAGCATGAGCTCCATGCTCGTAGAGACAGTCAGTATAAATTATGAAGATTTCAACGAGAGTTTTTTAACCTGCGGCACCTGTCTCTGTGTTTACGATGGCAGCGAGCATACACCTAAATTACTACCATGTTCACACACGGTACGATTTGTGCATAAACATTTTTGCATGTTAGCACCGTATGATTGACTCACTGTCTAAAACGATTCAATATTTATATGATAGATGGGACACACCGTACTGAGTAAAAAACCTAAAGAAACGTAGGTCGAAAACTCAACCGTTTCTGAGATACGAACATTTTTGTATGTTAGCATCGTATGAATGACTCACTGTCTAAAACCATTCGATATCTATATGGTAGATAGGACACACCGTACTGAGTAAAAAACCTAAATATACATAGGTCGAACCATGTTCATTTAGGTTTTTTTTTTACTCAGTATGGTGTGTCCTATCTACCATGTAAATATTGAATGATTTTTTCTAACACCCTGTATTTAATCTTTAGGCATCAACGATAGTCATTATCTGTTATTATCATGGGTTGTTATATTTAAGATAGGTTTAAAATTGTTACGTCAAAAATGTGAACAAAAAAATTGAGAGTTCAATAAAAAAAACTTTACTATATCGATACTCTTCGTAGAAGTAAAAATGGTTTATTTACATTTTGAGTGTTTTAAAATTGATCTTGTTAAATTTGTCATGGTTTCACAACTTTAAGACACAAAATTGTTTTTATTAATATCTTTGTTAGTAAAAAAAATATTGCAAAAGTAGATGCTTTAGTTGGTCTGATCTCGTTTCAGAATTAAAAGAGTAACGAATTGTTAGTTTTTAAGTAACGGTAACTAGTTACTTTTAAAAAGTAACTTTTCCATCCCTGGATTAAGTATAAAACGGTACAGCTTACCCCAAGTAGCAAGATGATGTCAAGCGACGTTAGAGACGTCGTTAAAACGTTATTAACACGTCGTGTCATCTTGATAGTTGGGTATATGTACGTTGCACGCTGCGTGTAATGTATATATGTGCATATTAATAATTTGGAATCTGTTTTAGGTATGTTTACATTGTTTAACAAGGATCGCTGCGTCCCAAACACGAGAGACAGGAGCGTTTAGATGCCCCATTTGTAGAGAATTAATCACTATTCCTCGTGGAGGGGTACCTGCACTGCCCCCGAGTTTTCTCGTCAACCAACTGCTGGACCTCATGTCTCGGCAGAGACGAGAGGTACGTCCGAGCGTACGGATAAATTTTTGTTCCCGAATAGTCTCAGTGTCGTTACGTCGTTATCTATTTGCAGGTCATCCCAAAGTGTTCAGTTCATATAAATCAGGAATTATTATTTTGCGAAACATGTGATACCGTGTTCTGTACAGTGTGTACCGGTGGGACACACGCGGGGACGTCGCCTGGATGCACAGAACATACAATCATCCCCTTTAGCATTGCGATAAAACGAATGTCCGAAATATTGCTTTACAAAGCTAACGAGTGTATATCCAAGGTGAAGACTAGTTTTTCTTTTTAACTTTTAAGCACCGTTCCTTGTATTGTCCGATACAGCTTTTAATGTGCTCCATTTTCATTTCTTTATTGTTGTATACTTAATTTTTGTATGCTTCATATGACTATGTCTGCGTATATGTACTTAAGTTATATCCAAAAAGCCATTTATATGTATAAAAGTGTCTCTCGCTTATACATACATGTAAAAATTTCTCAAGTATTATTTACAATCATATTTGTAATAGCATTACTTAATTTTTTATGTGTGTTGCTCGTACACCAAATAACGCTTACAAATGAAGCAGTGAGAATTGTCATTAAATTGTAATACGTGGTACAACTCTATCCTTACTGAGTTAAGAGTTACGTTTTTTAGTTAACACAGGCACAGGATTCTGTAAGCACGGAGTTGCACCGTTTGGAGGCGTCTACGGAAAAGTGTTTGAGCGCGGTGGACACGGAGTTTGCGGAGATCATCGCCAAGATAGAGAAACGTCGGACGGAGCTGCAAGCCGCCGTAACTGCCGCCGCTCGTGACAAGAAGCACGTGCTTGAGGAGCAACATTCTCTTATTGAGGCGGAGAAAACCAAAGTGGAGCAAGAATGCGAAGGATTGCAATATCAGGTAGAGCGTGATAAAGAAATACATTGGTCTAACGTTACTTCCCGCGCGTATCGTTTTACGCACCGTGAGATTTAATCCGACAGGTCGAGGTCCGGAATATTACCCAACGCATTAACAGCCTGTCTGATCAGCTGGACGCAGCGACCGCTCTCAGCGAGCCCAAGGAGAACGCTTTTATCACGTTCGAGTTTAATCACAACGACGCTCTCTCCCAATTGGAGCAGGCGCTGAGCAACTTAGGACGAGTACGTTCCAGTACAACATTGCCAGGTATCTCAAGGATTAATAATACAGTAAAGTAGCGACTTTAGAGATTGGTCGTTTACTACAACACGCTTCTTACTTCTGACGTAAGATGTAGATTTGTGAGTTAGGGCCACAGACTTCTATATACTACTAGAATGGAAATGTACATTTTTTCAGTCACACACTTTCAAGAAGGATCTTTCGTAAGATTATTAGTGCATATATAGGTTTTTTGGGTTGCTGAATCCAATGCTGATGTCAGAATTGGATTCTGGCAACTGCCAATTGAGACATGGTGGAACTCTTGCCTCACTTATCAGCTCAAAGATAGAAGTCTAGTAGTGTACAGAAATCTGTAGTTAGTACCTGAGTAGAAAGACTGTCGTAAGTGTTCGCAATTCCGTAGTAAGACGCAAGTCGATGTCGGAAGTCAACGCGCAAAGAATGGACGTACACGCACCGGCATAAATGCTGTCCCTATCCTTGTGAGGTGCACGCACACAACTAGAGTCCCTGTAGTTTGAACAGGCCTGCGTTCTTTCTGCTCAGGCCCTTACCGTCACGCATGAATCGGCTTTAATTTGCAATGTGACGCATTTTCTATACTTATGCCTTTTTATATCAGGTTTGTGTCGAGCGAGATTGAAAGACCTGGCGATAGTGAAGCTGCAGACAATCGTCATTGTCGAAACGGTGGATTATCACGGTCATCCCCGGAACGTCGGCGGTGATCTTATTAGCGCCGAATTGACGCTCGCAGACAACATGCACGCGGAACATCAGAACGCTCCCATCGAGACGGAAGTAAAAGACCTGGAGAATGGAACTTATGAGATTTACTTCCGGCCACCGACCGCGAGTAGATACGTTTTGAAGGTGTCGGTGTTTGAACGACCTATAAAGGATTATCCGCTATTTTTCGACGCGACTGAGCACAATGAACCTACTAAAATATATGGAAGACGTGGCAACGGGAAAGATGAGTTCCACCAGCCAGTTTCGGTTGCGGTGGACGACGAAGGGATGATTTATATTTTGGATACTGGAAATTCTCGTATTAAGGTCTGTTTGAAATAATATTAGGGAACACAATATTTGGATAACGCGGTAAGAATATTCGAATGTTTCTGTAATATTTCAGGTACTCAATTGTGATTTGGAGTTTCAAAGGCATATAAACAATGATGGCTTGGAGGGCCGCAGTTGTACGGGAATAGGTATTTCTCAACAAGGTCTCGTGGTCGTAAATTGGCGGACGCGAAAGATCACGGAAATGACTTCGTTGGGTGATACGATCCGATCTTTCACGCACAACGCGTTTCAAGTTGGTAATTTTTATCGTGCAAAAGTCACCCAAGCACTTCGTAATTACGACATTGGTTCCTTATTCCAGGAGCCCATAGACATTGCAGTGGACAAGAGTTACGGCCACATACTTGTCGCTGACAACGGTCAGAGCTGTGTATTCGTGTTCGATTCGGATGGCAAGATATTATTCCAGGTTAATATTTGTTTACATAAATATATGAACTTTCACTGCAAGTTGCTTCGTATGGTCCTCGTATAGTTATCACGAAACGTTAACAGGTCGGTAAGAGAGGCACGTTCAAGCTAATCAGTTCTGTAACTGTCGGTCCGGCCGGTGAGATTTTAGTTGCCGATAGCAGAATTCAAGTCTTCTCCGCGAAGGGAGATTTCTCCGAGGAAGTATATTCCGAAGGCAAAGGTAAGTTTCTCTACACGTAGTCGGATATTTCTCCAAGATATCCCGCTGCTAAAAATAACTTGAGAGATATAGTACTATCGTGATACTATAGTTAAAGTAGAAAATTTACTTCGTCGTAACGAGGATGAAGATTTTACTATATCTGATTTGTGTATGCGACAGGAAAAGGTATCTACGGAGGAATAGCCGTGGACGCGGAGGGCAAAATAATCGGCACTCGTACGGACAAGGGTCGTAGCATAATACAAGTACTAAAGCTAGGCGGAGGTAATATTTTAACCGAGATCGACTCGCACAGCTCGAAATTGCGACGCCCCTCGGGCATAGCGGTGCTGCCAGATAATCACCTCGTGGTAGTGGACTTGGGCAATGATTGTATAAAGAAGTACAGGTACTGGTAAAAAAAAAACAGTCATTGTTTGTTTAAGCATAAAAATTCAAATTCGCAAGCCAGAGGAAAGCTCAGAGGTACCAAAAGTCAATCATAATTTAGAATTATTTAATCAGGTTTTTGTGAAACTTGTAACATCACATATTGCGAATGTAATGCCTATGTTTTTATAAATTTTTATATATAGTTTATAAATTAGTATAAGACGTGGGATAAAATAGTCATGTCGAAGGTAAACCTGACATTACTATTACTATTCGGTTTGCAATATGTAGCATTATATATTACAATTTGTATTTTGCCTTCAGCTGTGTTTTATGTATTTAATTTTTTACGTTCGGCGCTGCTTTCTCTCGTTTCCCGCATATCTGTGGGTATACAAAAATTTTTACCGTTTCAAACAAGTCATGCGAAATGCTCAGTACTTATTGTATGTATACCTTTTTTATTTGATATAATTTTTTAAGTCATTGCGATTAATATTTAATCGTTTGAATGCAAAAAAAGCAACTCTGTTGTTGCTGACTAATCTAGATACATCGGTGGATGATAATCCTTTCCTAACTTTGCCAAATTAAGCTTGAAAGTTGTTTATCTTGCTTCACATGTCAAACATGCATCTACATATGACAATCACAATCATATTAGATCATACATTGAATAATAAGAAATTCATATCCCAATGTTCTTGATTTGCACAAGCTCGCTTAAAGTAAAACTGAATTAAAATTCGGTACATAATATACGTAACTACGTAAATATTCATCTCGTGAGACATAAAAAATTCTAAAACTTGAATTGCTAAAAATAAGGAAAGGTAAATCTGTATTATTTTAGATAAAACTGGTTTTTAAGTAACATTTTAACAATCGGTTTAAATACTACAATATTATTTTTATATTAAATTTAGGCGGGTAAAACTGGAGGAGACTATCTCTGGTGCTCCTCTGAATTTATATTTTCACACGATACGTTCAATTTTTTCTTAGCTTAGCGTTTTAGAAATTCGTTAAGATAAGATAGAAGAAATTACATCGTAGCACTAAACTATCAAGATAATCTGAACAACTTCTAGTCTTGATTTGTTTCAATAAGGAGAGCATCATTATTCGCGGGTGTATAATGTTATATAAAAAAGTATTATATATATTATATATACACTGCCGTTCTATATTATTTTAAAATACATCTCTTTCATGATAGAGTACAGGGCTTTGCATCACATCAAGCATATATGAGTAGATTGCTTGGATATAATACTGTTGAGATGAAAGAAAATTTCTTTGAACTGTGAGCACCTTCATTTTAACCAAAGTTTTTAACGTGGAAACGTTTTTCTTAAATTCGAAACTGTTGATGTTTCTGAATCATTTTGTTATTCTGTACGCCATGTTTTTTAATTTATATTCTCTGTAATATGGAAATCGTAGTTTTCATATTTTTTGCTCCTTTTTATTTTACTGTGTAAACTTTGCAGCATTTATTACCCGGAAAGGTTTCTTGTGTTCCTAACAAGCAAGAAATTCGGGTAATTTATTTTGGCACTACGTGATTTGTTCTTTTTTTATTAATAAAAAACAAATTATAAGTAATGTAAGATAGCTATGCAAATAACTAGAAATACGATAAGAATTGTATATATATTTTTTCAGTATTATTATACATTTTGATAGAATTGGCGACGCGATTTATTTATCTAGAGATATTTTCCAAATTTCGTGAGAGACACGCGATTCTCTCGACAATGATGTACTTTTTTGAAGGCCTACAGTATCGTTCGTCGTAACGGAATTTGTTGTTAAAAAAAGACGATCCAGATTTTTCGTCGCTCTTACAAATTTCACCCGAGTGTGCAAATGATTTCCATCGTTGAGACACGTCTCGTAACGTGTACGTTCAAGTTGCTCTGGACAAATTACATAAGCAGTAGGATTCGCGCGATCACTCGTGTATCCGGAAATACTTAACGCCCGTCTGGAGATCGCGGCTACAATCGATGAAATGTTAGCTAAATATCACCATGATGCATATCTACTTATTCCTCGATACTTACTTCTTGACACCGAGAGTGATAAACTTACACGCGTACGGCTTACAAGTTTCCATTTCTTTACAGCGGGAAAATATTTTTTCACGTAACTAACTTGTATATCTCTGTGTAAGAATCGATTCTTAAAGTAATTAGCTCTAACACCCTTATGCCATTTTATCTTTTACGTGACTTATGCTAGTTACATTTTTTTTTTTAGAATCATTTGCCATGTTAATATCGACACGAGTAATCCTTGTAAAAACCTTTCTTAGGACAAATGCGGAGCTATGCGTAGAACATATATGGCATGCGATTTAAATTCAACGAAAGTGTAAATGATGACTTTTGCGGTTTATATTTTTGCGACGAACGCGCAAGATCTTTCAGCGACCTCCTATTTTTTTTTCGGACTGTATCGTAGCGATACGACATTCCTCGTGAACTGCTTCGCAGAGTGATCTACCATAGGCTACATTTAATATAAATTGTCGCATATTGCTTGTATATGTACGTACGAATACGACGAGTCACCATAAAACGCATTAACACGTTAGTCCTTAGCGGAAAGCATAACAGTGCCTTTATTGAGAAGATGCCACCGTACGGTTTATATCTCATGACGATTGATTGATATATAAATATATTTCTTCTGTTCAAACCGACAAGTCACGCCGATGCGCTTAACACTTGGAACGTCACTTGATTGTAATCGTACGTGATTCGTACATTTCCTTGGGAATCGTGGCGTTTGAGTAGAAAAACGTATTCCTCACTTATGTCAATTTCTACCAATGTAGATTAACTTTGGTCTCGGTTTAACTTGTTTTTTTTAAATCGTTTTCTAGTTCTAAGGCCCGGTTTCGTCAACATCGCTTAACTTCAAGCCTAGCTTAATTCGTTCTTTGTCTCTCTCCAACTGTTACTTTAGAAAGAGACAAACATGAACACGAAGACGTTTGGTGAAACCGGGCCAAGCTAAGCTTAAAGTTAAACGACGTTGGTGACACCAGGTCTGAGTTTAATTCATGTTTGTCTCTTTCTAAAGTAACAGTTGGAAAGGGACAAAGAACGAGTTAAACTATGGCTTAAAGTTAAGCGACGTTGGTGAAACCGGGCCTAAGAGTTGGAAAAAGGTGGAAAGTAAATTAAACCGAGATTAAAGTTAATCTGCATTGGTAGAAACGGGCGTTAATCGTTACCTACGTGTGATTGCCAGTGGGAACTAAATGAAAAATATCAGTACGCAAATTCCCAAGGAAAAATGTGCTCGCGTACGACGTCAAAGTGCTAGAGTGGAAACGGAGTCGCGGCAGGTCGAGAATCAAATCAGAATTTTCATCGGAGTAATTTGTATATCGATTGTTCTATATATATACAGGGTGAAGAAAAAATATGGAAACCCCTAAAGTTTTCGAGAATTATGCATTTTAGAAACAAATGTTATCCATCTTATGTCCCGCTTGAAACCACACAACTTTTGTCTCAGACATTTGTTTCTGAAGTGCCATAGTTTTGAAAAACTTTAGGGCTTTCCATACTTTATCCTCGCCCTGCATGTAGACCTACGTTCCGAAATTTCTGGTTCTATCAGTCATTCGATGAATATCTATTCAGCGAGAACCTAGCGCATTGATTGCGGAGTGTCATTTTGTTTCCAAGTCTGATCCTGAAAGCCAAGCCTGATTTAATGTACGTCAACGTCCTATTGTCGCCTAAGTGTCTACCAGAAGTACCGATTGACTCGATATCCCTCTTTCTTTCTCTCCCCGTCCCCCTTTTCTTTACGAATCGTTGAGCCACCCGTTCGCAAACACCGTGCAAACTCAGACTGATATATATTTCTCGTTTGTATTTTTTGATATTGTTTAATCTAGTCATACGTCAGATATAACTGTAACACTTATATATCATGACTCTGTCACGCTGTAACATAAAGTACATTGTAAATAAATATGTAAGCTTGATTCACCGAGTGGTTTTGACCATAGACGACACTCGTTTCCCTCCCGAGCGCGCTTATGGTCGAATAAATCGAGAGAGTGCAGTCCCGGGGGAGATTTATTTTGTTCAACGAGGATATCGAATCTTTTTGTTTTTTCAATAGATCTCCCGGTCCGCTTCCAAATTTATGGCGTCTCGCTTGGTTGATCCTATGAGCATTTATTCTGTCCGCTGACTGAATAGACTATTGAATCGTATTCAGTATCGCGTTACTTTAAGTTACAAATTCTCCAAGTACCAAAGATGACACTTGGAGTACTTGGACCAACGACTCCAAGTAATTAAATCGCTCGAGCATTACCGGCGTATTTTGTTGGAGCGCGGATGAAGCAATTAATTTCGCCGTCTGACGCGGAAGTCTCGCCGCGATCAACCGGACAAGTCGGAGTTCGTGTTCGGCATTGCGTACTTTAAGTTACAAATTCTCCAAGCACCAAAGATGACACTTGGAGTACTTGGACTCCAAGTAATTAAATCGCTCGAGCAATACCGCCGTGTCTTGTTGGAGCGCGGATGAGACAATTAATTTCGCCGTCCGACGCGGAACGATCGGCGAGTCGCGGACAAGTCGGAGCTGGGGCGAAGTCGCCGAAGCCCGAGGCCCGTCCGTGCCAGCGCGCGTGGGAGTCGACGTCCCTGAGCGCGCGCGACGGAGACGGCCGCGCGCGGGAACGAGAGAGCGAGACGGCTATAGGACGCTAGCTGCACTCACCGCGGTGTTGGGGCCGCTACGGTGGTAGTGAATGGAACGCGGTGTGCCGCACGTCCTCGCGTAGTACAACGCTCCGCGGGCGCCGCGCCACCCAATGGCCAGCGAGTACGGGCGGTCACGTGACGCGCGTGCCGAGAACCAGCCAGCAGAACATTGCAAATGACAAGACGCGTAGGGCATTGTCGTCGCGCCGCCGCCGCCGCTGCCGCCGCCGCCGCCGCCGTCGTCGCCGCCGCTGCCGTCGCCGTCGCCGTCGACTCGTCGCTCGGGAATACGTCCGGCCGCCGCGCCGAGAATCGCCCCGGTGGTAGCGCTTAGCGCGGGTGCCTCCACGTCGGGACGCCAGGCGTCCCCGAAGCTGCCCGCAGTCCCGTAGTCGGTTGCGCGCGCGACTCGTCGGGAGGACTCCCGCGCCCTGAGAGAAAGAGCGGCCGCCGAGCCAAGGAGGAAGCCGCCAGGTGCGCGTCCGTTTTGGTCCGCGCGCGCGGACCCTCGAATCGCCGCCACCGCCGCAGCCGCCGCCGCCGTCGCCGCCGCCACCGCCG